AGAGAGAGAGAGAGAGAGAGAGAGAGAAAGAGAGAGAGAGAGAGAGGGGACATCCATATGATAGGTGTTACCCATTGCTGTGGTAATGGTCACTTCCTGATGTGAACCCACCTGCCGTGTAGCGACTGTCCATGGAAGCTGACGGAGTGAGGCAGTTGGCCACGAGGCCTCGTCTCCGCCCGCATGAGGACAACTTGAGTCGTCCATCGATGCTGCAAAGCTCCTCCGAACTGAGCCTTAAGCTTTTCATCATTTTGATTAGTGCGTGAGGGGCCGATGGTGTTCCTCAGGAACCAATCCCTTAGACCTGTCGATTAAAGTGTTAGTGCGTGTGCAAACAGGAAGCAAGCATTAGCACGTCGTACCTTCCAGAGCGAGAGCCTTGTGGAGGCTCCTGGTTGCGTCCTCTAGCTCTGCATCCTGGGCAGCGGCCAGCTGGGAGGGGGTTAGGTGGGGTTGGGAGTGCAGCTGGACGTGCGGCACGGGCAGGAAAGGGCCACAAGATTTGGTGCGGGTCACTTTGACATGCCGTTGCTCACCCATGTGCACCTGGTAGGTGGGTGGAGCTCCTGGAGGCTGCTGGGAGGTGATTGGCTGAGGCGGCTGCCACTGTTTGCTCAACACGTAGTCCAGCAATAGATTACTGTAGCCACGCCCTCTTCCCGCAGTCGGCCTGGTATTTGCCGGCTGGGACCCTGTGAAACTGTTTAACCACATCCCACCCTGCTGTTCCTTCTCGGGCGAGGACGCACCGTTCAGCAGCCCATCTGAGCTGTCATTGGGACGGAGTGTCGCGCACACTTTGGCCTCCCCCAAAACTACAGACTCTGAAGGGCATGCAGCTGACGAGCTGATGTGGGAATGTGGTAGGGCATGAGGCTGAAGGAGGGATCTGTGGCTCTGATGATTCTGAGGATTCTCAGACCTGCAAAGAAACACAAATTTTCATTTAGGAAACCTTTTAGCTTATCTCATTGCAACTTCGCTGAGCGATAACAATGACCTGATGCACACGAAACTCGTCCTGGGTTTGTTGTGACAGTAAACCTCCACTGGAGAAACACCTGCAACCAACGGGGGGCGACACAGTTGTATGAACTCCTCTGTGCAAACACAAGGAGGAATTGAGATTGATGACATAATCAGTGTGTAAATGTGCGTGTGCATGTATGTGTTACCACTGTCATCTCCAGTAGAGTGCAACGTGGAGTTGCTCTCCCATCTCACGGCGTCGTCTGCAAACATGGACATAACATAAACGACAGTGCTCCCTCAACATTCCGACTGTGTGCGTATGTGCATTACCAGTGTGGCAGCCTCTGTGCACAGTCATCTTGCCATGTCGTGCTTGTGTGTTCTGTTCACGGTGATTGTGTTTTCTCTGTGTGCCACTGAATAAAGTTTTTGTACTCCTCACATGTGCACTATCTTCTTCCTGTAGAACCACAGAAGAAGAGATTACAGGAAGGAAATAGTCCTGCAATTCTTGTCCATCCAAAACTTGTCCATGAGGATGTCACATTGCTTTTACCAAATGTATGACTGTAAACATGAATCTGTCAATCATTTGACAGTCACACAATGTATTGTACACTGTCAGAAAAGAAGGGTACTGTTGAGTCCCACTTTTGTACTCCTTTGTAGTACTTTTTGTCATGTACCCTACAGAGCTCAAAATTAAACCCCTTGGTCCAAATAGCTTGGTTAAAAAGTGAACATAAATGGTCGAGATCAGAGGTCGGGAACCTATGGCTCGTGAGCCATGTATGGCTCTTTTGATGATTGCATCTGGCTCACAGATAAAAAAAAAATATTCTCGCTTGTTTATTAATGCATCCATCGATCGATTTTTCACTGCTCATTTCCTCGTTTGGGCTGCAGTTGGCTCCAGGAGCCATTTTGATTGGATGATACTGGCCAACGTTGCCGTTGCTGTGGAAACAGGTGTACGCCCCCTTTTGAATCAACCCGCTCGGCGATTAACTCAAAGCTAATCCTAAGTGAATAAGATGGCGAAAAGAAAAAAAGATGACGAGTTTGGTAGACTTCGGGACGAATGGACCGAAGGATTTGCCTTTGTGGAGAGAACAGGTTCTGCAGTGTGTCTGATTTGCAATGACAAAATACCATCGATGAAACGGTCGAATGCAGAGCGGCACTTTGACACGCCCCATGCTATGTTCGCATCAAAATACTGTGCCGAGAGATAGCAGAAAGGAAGCGTGCATGCTACTGAGCAGGGTGCAAGCTAGCCAGCAGTAACTTCGCACATGGACCCGGCAAACCCACTTTCATTCTGATAGTTTTGCTGGATTTTTAGCAAT